CTATAGCATTTCTCTGACTATAATACCTATATATGTAGATAACTTGTAAAGTACCCTGGGTATTTTAGTCCACGCTGCACGGTAGGTTCGTTATTTATTTCCTTCTATTGCTTTGTTTGTTTTACTCTTCTACTGTAACACCCCTCTGCTTCCCTATCCCTACCCAATGCTTACAAGGTAACACAACGATATTTATTAGGTATAAAGTTTTACTCAAGATAACGAAGTAAAAAGTTTAATCATACTTGGATCAACATTACATCATTGATTTTAAAATAGACTTTTAAAAATTACTTAAACTTGTCAGTTGCTACAAACATCGAGTTAATTTCGGATGATCCAATGGATATGTATATAAATCCAAAAAAATTTCATTCTGAAAAATAATACGTATACTTAATTCTAATCATTTTTACAAATAACCATAAATTTAATCTATACCAAAATTGAATTAACAACCATATAAAATCGAAGAATAAGGTAATAATTAATTGCATTAGGCTTTCTGAAGAGTCCATCCTTGATTAGATCTTTTATGAGTCAGAAATAGATGACTTCACAACCATCAACAAAGAGATGAACTTCGCAACCATCAACAACTTGCCTTTTTATACCATCACATTCTCAAGTATTTTATTACCGGCCTCATTCTCCTGTTAGTTTTTTTCACCAATTTCTACTGTCTGATGTCTGATTGCCTCCATCCCGCCATCTCTGATGAGATCTTATTATCAAATTCAGAATCATAATATAAACAAGTAAATTATTATGAACATTCAACTCATTTTTTTTAATGTATTATAAACTCATGCATGTTTCGCTGTATATAAAGTCTACAAATGTAGAAATCTTGAGATTAAGTCATGAGGATGGATCATTCAATCAGACACCATTTAATTTGCTTTTAAACTATACGTTTATTTGATTAATAAGAATTTTCTATTATTCATAATAAGGTCAGACCGTTAAATTATTTGTATAACGAATAAACTTCTATTTTCATATTATTAAAATTTCCAAATATAATAATCACGTAACACAGTTTTTAAAAAACCTAGTTCTTTATTCATAATATGGCATAAAATTGTTGCATAAAACAAAGCTAAATTGATTTAATCAACTACTCTCAAAAGACTCTACTAGTTTGTTTATGGAATTCTCATCTGAAGCATCAAGTTCTTCTATATACTGATGTCCTAATTCTAAGAGATTAGAAATACTATTGTAATCATCAAATGCTATCGGCTTGTTTAACGAAATTTGCCATCGTTGATAATTATTTCCCAGCATAGAATGCATTTCACGATTAACGTTACATTCTTGTGCAGATAAAACTATGTTATATATATTGTGTTTCCAAAAAAGAATATCTTGATATAAATCTGCGTTTAAAGGATCTGGTATATAACTACCAGTACCTAAAGAAAGCACAGTAATTTTTTCGCATTTTGTGTTATTTTTACGAGCTATTTCATAAGATTCTAATGCAGGGTAGGGCTGTAAATCGATTCTATAATAATCGTTTTAATCGTTAATCGAATTAGAATCGATTCTGATTCCTGGACAAAC